CTACTTCAGCTTTCTTATGGATGCCATTTGCTTATTGTATTATTTTTTCCAGCTTTTTATTTTTTTTTGTCTATCTTTTGCTTCATTTCTTAGATGTGTTCATTGTAGGCAAGATGTTGATGAATTCGGGTTTTCTCTTCATCAGTACATTAAAGCCATTTACATTGAGTATGATTATTGGTAGGCCAGGTTTTATCCTAACCATTTTGCCGCATTCCTTTTTCTGTTGTTTTTCGTCCACTTTCCTCTGCTGTCTCTTTGTTAAGGACTTCCTTTATTATTTCCTGAAGAGTTGGTCTTGCATTCAAGAATTTGCTAAGTTTCTGCTTTCCTACAAATGACTTGATTTCTCCTTTATAGTTGAATGGCAACTTTGCTGGGTACTGGATCATTGGCTAGCAATTGTTTTCTTTCAATCTTCTCTATAAACCATTTCATTGTCTTCTTTCTCACCTAGTTTCTGCTAAGAAGTCAAAGATCAATCTAATTTGTTCTCCTTTGGAGCTGACTGTTTTTCTCCCACAGCTTTTAATAGTCTATCCTTGTCTTTATTTTGGAGAAATTGACAATAATATGTCTTAATGTTTTTCTTTGGGGATCTAGGATGTTTGTCATGTGCTGAGCTTCTAGAATGTGTATTTCATAAATTTTTTTTTTATTTAATAACTTTTCATATCTAAAAACTTTTCTTCCAGTTCCTCTTCCACAATTTTCTCTGTGCTCTTTTTTTTTTTTCTTTTACCCTCCTGTCCTGGAATTCCAATCATGATATGTTATTTAATTTTATGTCATCCCACCTGATTCTAAAGTTGTCAAGTTGGGTTTGGATGGATGTTGGTGGGGTTTTTTTCTTTCTTTCTTTCTTCTCAATTTTTTTTTTCTTTTTATAAGTGCTCATTCGAGATTTTTTTTTTCTTCTACTTCACTGATTCTCTGTTCCATCTCCTCTATTCTACGTTTCTTGTACCTCCAACATGTTGAAAATTTCTGCCATTTTAGTCTTGATATTCTGGGCTATAGTTCCATGTTTTTCTATTGATTTTAATACTGTGTTGCTTGTATCCTCCATGTCTTGTAACGATTTTGTTTTTAATTTCTTGTTGCTTTTTACTTATGATTCAACTCTTTCTTCCAACATTTGTAACTTCTTCAGTATTAGTGTTTGGAACTCTATATTGGCCTTCCTGTCTCCAGGCTATTCATTGGGTCCTCGATCTGATCTGCTTTTTAAGGAGAAGGCTTATTTTGTGCTCTCATAATCTTTGACCCTGCAAGCTACTTTCTTTATATTATGGGAAGTGGATGTGGGGCTTTGAGGAGCTCTCTTTCTCTCCTGAGCAGACAAAAGGGAGCTAGGTAAATCCTAAGAATGCTTTCTGGGACTGTTTATTCTTTCCAAGTTTCAGTGACCAGTGCGTGCAGTGTACTGGTCTTCTCCTGAGCCTATATAGACCCTGTTTGGATTCCTCTCTGGTCCTGAAGCTAGCAGAAAGATTCACCTTGGATGGGGAGTTCTTTGTTCCAGAAAAGTGGAGGGCAATTCAGACCGCACGAAGTCCTCTCTGGTTCTGGGATTGACAGGAAAATTTTTCTCGGCTAGAGAGTGCACTTCTCTAGTGGAGCGTAGAGCAACTTGCTTTGCCCAAAGTCCTCTCTGGTGAAGAGGAGTGTTAAAAATTCATTGTTGTTGTTATGTACCATTGAGTCGCTTGTGACTCATAGCGACCCTATGTACAATAGCCCTAAACTTTGCTCTGTCCTGTGCCAATCGCACTGTCTCTGACACTCCCATCCCAATTACACCAGTCACTGAATCAATCCACCTCATAGAGGGCCTTCCCTTCCTGCCCTGTCCCTCCACCCTACCAAGCATGATGTCCTTCTCCAAGGACCGGTCTCTCCTTAAAACATGTCCAAATTATGTTAGATGGGGCCTCAGAATCATTGCCTCCAAGGAGCCACCGAGTTTAACCCTTTGCAGGATGAATCTCTTTGTTTTCCTTAGCAGTCCATGGTACTCTCAATACACTTCTTCAGCACCACAGCTCAAAGGCATCAATTCTCCTTCTATCCTCCTTGGTCGTTGACCAACTCTTTGATGCATAACAAGTGATAGCAAAGACCATGGCCTGTATCAGACACACCTTAGTCTCCAGA